CCCCCCCCCCCCACCTCAATAATCATGCCATTTTAGAAAGGGGGAATAATGCAATCAAAATCTATTCACTTTCGAGCATAAGGATTCCTCACTAACAAAAATTGCAAACAATTCCAATGGAAGCAGTTTAAATCAATTAGCACTTTTAAGTCGAAATATAAGGCTGAAATCGATGCCTCCATATATGGCAAGCTTGATGGAGCATGTAAATAAATCCACAATAAAATAAACTTCAAACTAGTACACGTCGTCGGAATGAAGATGAGTTAAATCAGGTAAATGGCTAAAATTAAGTGTTGGTTGATATTATGATTGCAATTCAATGGCCTCGAAAAAGAAACACTTCTTTAGGGCACCGAAAAGGTGGAGATGAGAAGAATGATTTGAATTTCCCAGAACAGTGCAAATATAAAGAATTGAGAATGAGTGATCATACCCAAAGCACAAAAGCAGTAAGTGGATATAAGTATGTTCTAGTTGATTTTTTGTGTGGAGGAAGCGAGAAAGAATGACTTTCACTCCACATGAGAGCGTAATCACTGATCACAACATGTACTCTGCTTTGCACGGTCATACTCTAAATGACCCCGCCCCCATGACGCACGAACATTATTCCTTAATAGTTGTAACTAGAACGGTGTTACTGAGAGTATGATGATACCAAAACCCGTAGGTGTTCCATTTGCTCTTTCTTAAAGTAAGAAATAAACCGCAGTCGTTTTTTGCTTACGATACGGTAATGAGAATAAAATGAATATGTTTACTCCTTCTAAGCATTAGCAGTATATTCAGCCAGTACATGTGAATACTAAATGCAGATGATTTCATCTCGTTATCGCATTGCCTCAGATCCATTCACTTACTTCACGAGCATACATGCACTAGTCACCATGAGTGCAACAACGTGGACACTTGTGAAATGCACGTACACCATTGTTCTTCGTCATCTGCCGTTCTCGCGTGACTTATATTTCACAAACCAGAAATAATGATTCCGACTTAATGCCAACTAGAATAACATTGAGAAAAAATCTTGATAGTACTGTTAACATAACAGCTGTCAATGGCTCCAAATTAAACGCAACCAGCCATTTTTTCTCAAATTTTGGTCAGCCAATATAGAATAAGCATTCCAATCAACTATTAAGATACTAACATGACTTCATTACACTGGGCATTGTTGGATCGGCAAATTTCAATGCAATATTAAACCTTACTTAATCTAACAGTAAGAAACAGTAGTCTGTTCATTAGTAAAACGTTAGAAACAATTGAATATTCACAGAGTTAGGCGAGTCTAGTAACCTTTTTTAAGCCAGCCACAGAGTAAATGTACTTTAGCGATGTCAAACCGCCGATGTTAGACCCACTGTTCACAGAAAGCGTGTTTACACACGCACCAAAAAGTGTACAGCTCTGGTTTCTTCACACGCGTTAAAACTGAGGTCAGTTAAATTTGTGCCTTAAGCAGACACACTTCGGGTATTAACAAGGAGAGACTTAAATGAAAGTCAAAGAACATCACTCATTTGAAATTCGGATTAAAGATCCAAGAACTCCAAGCTAGAAGCATTTGCACGACCCCTCTATTCGCGTTTGCTGCACAAAAAATCCTCTACCACTTCTCTAAATCTGAAATGGCTATCAGGACAATGACAATTCGCGTGAATACGATTCTGAAGATGAAAGGCTAAAACAAGACCGAATGTTCATAAACATTAGAATGAATTAGTCATTCAGGATAGCAATACAATGCAAAACGTCATATTCCACAAAACAAGTAATCTCAAATCGTGATAACTAGACTGCTTATTCATGGTGGAGGAAGTATATGATGCATTGATTCAAATGCTCATAACTACACAACAGTATTCTACTTATCTACATTTTAATGGAACCACGAAAAACTGAAGATATCTTTCAGGGCAAATAAATCTGTGAAATTTCGATCAGCTAAAGTAGAAAGACGTCTTTTCTATAGAATTAAACCAGTGCCTTAAAATGTTCACAGAGAATAAGAATTTGTACTTCCTTTCAGGTCTCAAATTAAGGTATAAACTTACTGTCGCAGATCCAGACAAACTCCAAGATCGCCAACAACCGCAGTGTAGGGAGGTAATGGGGAGTATCGATGGAAGGAACTAGCGGGAGCAACAAAGGGTGATACTTTGGAAAGACCTGCACAGGGCGGAGAACCCGGTTCCCAGAGCTCCGTCATCTGATCTATCCGTAGACCTTGAGGGGGTTCCAATTGGGAGGGGGAGTTTTCGTCGGGGATGGTAGGCGTGGTGATAGCGTTAGATCGATTACAACTCCAGCTGGGGGGAAGTGGCATGGCGGTTCCGGAGGCTTCGTAGTTCACCCGAATTAGAATATTCTAGAGGTGTATTAAGAAAATTTTGTCGTATACAAAACATTGGCACGAACACACACACACAAGGGCTCAGCTCTGCCATACTTTTGAATCACACTGTATACTCAAACTTGTCCTTGGTTGGTTACTCAATTTGCACAACCATTAGTCAGCGCTTAGTATTTGAGCTACTGTATGTGATTTAAGTAACCTTTAAGTATCACGTAATGATGGTGAGGAAATTATTAGTTGGCGTATATTGAGAAGTGGTAAAATATAGACATTCTATTGCTATTGACGAAAAGAGACAAATCCCACTTACTTAAAATAAATAACAAACTTTCAGGAAAATTTCAATGGGAACAAGACCCAACGTTCAATAAATATACTAAAATAGGAAGATATCAATGAACATGAGATCAATTTTGAACTAATTAGGTTATATTCAAATGAATATAGTTTTGAGAAATTACGCTCTTTCTTACGGCATTGAGGAGTTGGGAACAAGATGATAAAGAAGCTTAATGGAAGGTATTTCCGTTGTAATGAAACGAACAAGGTTGAAAACAAGTCTAAAAATAGGAGTAACGACATCTGCATGTGCACACTACTTGACCAGAAGAACAACAACAACGACAGTGATCTAATGACTCAAAAAGTCACGTGCCCGAAGTCAAACGTGTGCAGATGTATGAGCGAAAGCGAATGTGCCCCGGAGTGATATCTAAATTGAAGACCCACCAACCCGGTGTAACACTGCTGTACTCACTCCTATCCAATATTGCCCCATGCACTCCCTGGGTAATTGATCGAGTTTTGGAAAAAAACAATATTTTAGCCAGTTAATTAGCTTATCATCCAATGGCTACATTGTTACAAATAAGACTCAATGAGCATTGAGTAAGAATGGCAATAACACCTGAATAAAAAATGCAGCTGTAATAATTTGTTCGGAACAGTTAAAGACGTCTTTGTGGGAATCGAGAATGACCGAAAATCTGTTTAATGAAGGCGATTTGGCAAATACTGGAATTGCTTCGATATCGTATTTTTTGTACAAATACATAAATGTAAAATGGGCGAGATGGGGATGAATATTACCATGGCAATTGTATAAACTAAGTGCAAAGTACAAGCAAGGAAATATCTTAAGAATAAGTACAAAATTTCTAATGACTTGGTCCGAATAGATCAACTAAGAAATTAGTTCACTGCTAGAAGTCATTTTCAGAACTCCAAATCCCACAGCAAAACCGTGGTAGCTGATAAAGAAAGCATATAAAGGTGAGCATAGGCAAATTTAGTGGCAAAGAGGCCGCGATTTGTCAGAGAAAACGATAAGCTTTAAAGAAAAAAATACTCGCGTATAAATTAAAAGTAGAACGCGCTGGCAACACCCAAGAAGTTTAGATTAACAGACTCCAATAACTTTACAATAGCGTAAATAATAATAATATATCTAACTTTTGGCTAAACCATAAGCTTCAATCAAGTAAAAAATCATGAATCAAGTCATCGCGACGGGAGGTAATTAAGAAAGGTTGGAGAAAGCGAAAATCAAACAAAACTATTAGGAACTAATATGTGATGGCATTTGATTCCAAACGATTTCCGAATATAATTTAAGAAGATTCTTATCAACATGAAGTTGACATTTACAATTTAGTCTTAAGGATACAAAATGCAATCCTCATTCGAAGTTCATAAAGTATTCCTTCTAAGCACTCAAATAGACTAGGAAAGTTGAAGGCAATCACCATAACAAAATGATAGTAGAAGCCAAATGTCGTCATGGGTCAGAGCAGGCATATTAAAAACCAGACAGCCCGCCAAATAGCACGCCTGCTCAATTGCTGAAAGCGTGCTGAAACTTGCACAATACCTACTGACCTGGAGAGGTTAACAATAAATTCGTCATGTCTGCATAAAAGCAGCATGTTGTCTATGCTATTTCAAGAGAAATAAAATCCTTCAGACTAAAAAATGTGGTCCAAGAGAATGTGTCAACTATCTGGCTAACCGGTCATCCAATTATACTTCACAGATCCGATTCAATACAAGGCTTCGGTATAAGAATGCGAATCTTATATGAGATCGGAATCAATTAGAATGGAATGGAATGTTACGCATGCAGTTTCTGTGGCTCTACGATAAGCGCACAGAGTAGGTTGAAAACGAGGTCATTTCATTTAAACTGGCCGGGAAGGGATTTAGATGGAGGAGCAGGGGAGAGCGCGCAAATGGTCAAACTCCA